GTTTTTTCATCATTGGTTGAAGATATTGTAAAACATCTTTATTCATTTCAATTAGCTCCTCGTAATAAGACAACCGCAATAATGAAGACAAAAAAAACTTTCTTATTATTAATTGATTCAGTTCTAATAAATATACTGCTACCAAAACTCAAGAAAATTTGTTTCTCTAAATATAAAAAACTAGTTTAAAATCTGTTGACATCTGGATCTGGCGCATAAGTCAGATAAAAGTTATCAGATCTGAAAAAGAATCATAAAATTATGCAATCCACCCGTTATCAAGACAAAATATCGTCATTTTGTTATGTAGGTAAAGACGTTGCTTATTTAATTTTTCGATGCTAAAACTGTATTTAATCACTTGTTTTACTGGTATGAGACTATCTTGACAAAGGTTAGCAGAAATTAACACGTCATCCTTTTTAACAAATTATATGGCTGATAATTTGTTTTGTCCAGTTTCACATCTTCGACAACCCAGTATACTCCTCATAATGATGCAAACATAACTGCTTTACTCGCATCGATCGGCAATTTTAACGCATCCTCAAATACGTAATGGCAACGATAATAATTTGATTGGTAATAAGTATTTAATAACATAGCCTTGAAAAGCACACCTATCGATATCACAAAACCATTTATTTATTTTATTTCGTCACCACTATTACATGCTCAAATCTTACTTATGATTGGTAATTTGTCGAATATTTAGTGTCATATGATACAATTAATACGCCAAATATCGACAATTTAACATCTTTGATATCAAATACTAGAATAACGTTTAAAATTAAAAAAATGTATTTGTAAGATTTTATGTTTGTTTTTTTCAAATAATGATTTTTGCTTTAGAATCCTCTATTTTAATAAATAATGAAGTTTTTATTTTAAATTGATTATTACCTCAAATAAGAATTATTTCTATGCATCTTGTATAAAACCTTCTGTATATGTTGTTTGATTGAAAGAAAAGGTTCTCCTTTACACGATTATATTTAGCTTGCCATGCAAGCATGAAACTATATTTTTCCTTGTAGTATGTCATAAAAAACGAAAATAATAATTACTGTACATGCGAACCCTTATAGTCACACTTCATTAGTGATAAGAAAAAGCAACCTTTATAGAGCACACCTTTCCCAAAAGAGGTGGCTTATGACTGTAATACGTACTAATGTTGCATGCATTCATATCATGGATATACATTATTAGCCAATAAAACAAGTACGTACATTTGGTTTTCAAAGTACATGTACGTAACTTCATGTTAATTTCGCAAGTTTATAAATAGAATAAAAATGAAAAACCGGTTAATATCCTAAAATGTCAAAAAGTCATTGTCTCGTCGTTTGTGATAACGTTAATGCATGTATTATGTGTGACATAAAAACTTCCATGATCACTACGACCATTACTATCGACCACTGTTAGCGTTAGTGATTGTTGCTATTATACGTAATTATACATGTGGTAGAATTAATTCTACCTTTTTCCCACAGTAATTGGACGGACGAATTATTAATTGGACGGCCGTATTAATTGGGTGGCCGAATTAATGCCGGAATTACCAAATATTGGAATAGGAAACATGTATAATTATTAATTATTGCAATGACTCGTTAAACCGGAGGTAAAAAAGAAAGAAATTATCGAGATATAATCTTTCAAATAAATCCAGTATATTAATTTATACATGTAATTGGAATTTCTTTCACAGTTAGAGTTACTGTATACATGTACTACTACATGTATTATTGCGTGTTTTTATTATATTTACACAAATTGATTTATGCATATCTATATATATACCATCTAATACAAGACTTTGTATTTGACATACATGTATATGGTAATAAATAAATGTATCTTCAAACCGAGTGTTGATTAAGAAAAATGAGAAATAATTTCTAAAAATACATGTAAATATTAATAGAATTGCTTAAAAGGTCTAGATGAATTCAGTTTCAACAATGAATAATGACAAAGATATATCTTAAATGTATTTAACGTAATATTCTAATTTAACATTCTGTATTACACAATGCTATCGCTATGTCTTGCCTTGTCAAACCTCATTTACGTAATAATATGATCGGGATAGACACTAAGTCAATGAAAACATATTCGTAAATGTTTGGCAGATCACGAGTGAATATTTCAAAGGTAATTATGTTATATCGAGAATTTATTATAAAATCGAAATCATTATATAAAAGGAAGTTTATTAGACGTTTTCATGGTTATATCGAAACAGAGTATCAGTATATCGAAGTTTGACTGAAGTAGCAATAATTATTTTTATGAAAAAATTTTTATTTAATAATCAGGTTTTTATTCAGCTTGTTTAAAGAATTTGACTTGTCAAGATTTTTCTATTCAAAAAGCCAATAATATCTTTTTCTTTAAATTACTGCCCATAATCATTTTTTAAAAAAATGAAAAATGAATACTCATAATATGTGTCATAAAAAATCAAAAGCTAAATTCAGATAACAAAGGAATTAAACAAACCAAAGCTATGAAAAATACTTTTAAGGCGCAAGAAATACTGCGTGATCCATATGCGCACTCATTCCTTTTTTGTTTCTTAGTAAGATAAATACATGTATAACGATAATGTTGTATAGATTCAATAGTGATAGCACATGTACATGTCGATATGCATGGAGAAATCGAAATACGTACGTATGTCAATTATAAACAATGGCGCAAACGATATCCCAAATAAGGTTATTATATAAGTTGCACGCACAGTTCGTACAATTAAAAAATCATAGACCTCTTAAGATAATCAATTGATACCAACATTTTGCGCATTTTGATAGAAACTTTATTTTATTCGCACAAAAATATTACCATAAAGATACTACTTTTAGAGATTTGTTGTAACTTAGGCCATAAACTCACGTAAGGTATTTTGAAAGAACTCGAATATCATTTGGTGCTATTTTATGTCTGATAATATTACAAAGCATGTTTTCGATTTATTTTTGTAGATAAAGGACATTGTTACTGACGTAATTATAGTGAAGTTTTTTTAAATAGAAAGTTTCATAGCTAAGCCCTTTATTGATTTCAAAAATAACGTAAAGTCCCGTGAATAAGCAATCCCTGTAAATAAGCAACCCCCTCTCTTTAGATTCAAAAGTCTTAGAAAAGTTGAATAAGAAACCCTTTTTTATATACTAAATAAAAAACTTATTATATATTTATTCATCTAATTCTAATCTTCAGCAAATGTAACTACTTCGTCACATTCATAATGATCGGGGATTACCAGCTTCAATAAATGTTTAATATCAATGAAATGGCTATAAACTGGATGATCAATAAATTAGCGACGCGATCGAACCTGTAATAGATATATATGCGCAGTTAATAATTTAATCGTTGGACCAATAGGCATTAAGTATTCAGAAAGTCCCGTGAATAAGCAACTCCCATAAAAAACTGCTCTAAAATTAATGATGTATGGGGTTGCTTATTCACGGAACTTTCTGAATATGATAATGTAAATCTGTATAAGCTCTTTAACTACAGTCGACTCTCTATATAACGACCATGCAGATCCTATTGTAAACAATATAAATTCAATAGAATCTGCATAGTCGTTATATCGAGAGTCGGCTGTATAATATGCACACACGTACACGCATACTGGATTTTTCACGTAATATATGCGCGTTATATTGGTTTAAACTAAGAAATTTCCGTTAATCACTTGTTTTGCAGAAATTCTTTAGGGCTTAAAGGATACGGAATAGTCCAAACCAATCCGGTATAGAAAGTTCTTTCCTGAATTTATAATTGCTTAGGATTTGGCAATTTAAATAATTATGTCATTTTAAAGCCTTATTAATCAGGTATAGGAAATGCTTTACAACAGCGTATTTTTGGAATATCATAATAGCTCTTTAATTCATTTTCATTATGAGTAAGCAAAATTCCAAAGAAGTTTAACAAAAGCTTCACTTTATTAATTGCATGAAACAACTGAAGAGAATAATGCTGTCGTTTACAATTGTTGAATCTTTACTTGAGGAAAGTTTTATAAAAACAAAGACGTGATGTATGTATGCACGGGGTCAAAAATTTGTTATCGATGGTTAACTAATAAATCCGACGGGGATTTGTGTCCGTTGCAATTTTTTGAACAAAAATACAACTATTAAAATATATACTGTACATGCATCGGAGCTATAAAACCGAATGATATTTTTATTTACCGTATATGAATATTCTTTGTGTTTGTACTGAATAATTAATAAATGCATAAATAATAAAAAAGTCCTTCCGTCAACGAATCCACCAATTCTTTGTTGAACAATAATCGACAAAAGTTACATATATCGACACATGATTGCAAATTTTGTTACATGTAGTACACAGAACTAACAACAACAGCAAAAATTTCCAAAAAAAATAGCAATGGCGATAGGGTGATCGCTATCGCTATGTGTACTAGTTTCTCAATCATAGTACGTATTTCTTGCTCGACAAGCTAGTTGATAGTTTGTTTTATATAGGGCTGCACTGTGTAAAGTCTTTTCGTAGATTCTTATCTTTATTATATATTTATAATACGAATAAATAAAATAAAAACAAATAATAATCACAAATAACAAAAACTTGTATACATTGAGACCTCTCTGAATATTCTGTGAATGCTATACTTATTCTCTATATATATACTATCTATTATGCACACGTGTATTTGGTTGCGCACCTGGAAAAAATTGACTATATTTATAAAAAAATATGATAAAAATTAATGTTCGTTTTCTTGCGGCACGAATATTAATAATATATACATAGTGTTATCTTTGTTACTTTGCTGCCAATCTGTTTAATATTGTATACATAAAAAAGTAAATCAAAACAATATAAATAGGAGGCAAGACATCAAAAAATCATAACCGATAAAATCTATTTAAAAAAAATACCAAGTAATGAAATATCAATAATCGAATCAATTAGATAATATTCCATTCAATAAAATGAATAATTACGAATATTTGTCAAATACTGAAAAGGAGCTTTTAAGTAGATGTCCGTATTCTCTAACTCTCACGATTGAAACGTTAACTAAACCTTCTGCGAAAAAATATAGTAATGTTGAGCCACCAAGACCACCGAACTGCTGGATTCTTTTTCTAAAAGATTTTACAGCGAAATTACATCTGAATAGTCCTGATATCAAACGAAATGTTAAAGATACAACGAAGGAGTGCAGTTTAAAATGGAAATCGCAACCAAGTGATGTGATATATTTTTTCAAAATATTAGAGAAAATAGCTTCTAAGAATCATGGGCATATATACCCCAATTACAAATATAAGCCAAAAAAAACAAAAGGTTCAAGCTATAAAAAAATTATTTTTCGGGAACAGAGAAAATACATAGTTACTTCGTCTGCCAAGTCTAGCTCGATGAATGACAATCCATTTCAAGGGGGAGCGGAAAGCAACACGTCACCCTCAACAACTCAATATAAGCCTCAATCTGCATCAATTGAAAATTTATCTGATGACAACGATTTACTAGATAAATACTTTGATATTGATATCGATATAAATAATAACCTTATTTTTACTTCAGGCCCGATAAGCACAATTCCCGATACCAAAAATACAGCTAGCATCGCAACAACTCCATTTAATTCTTCACCACCGGAATATCTAACTTATGATTTTACATATAGGGTTGGAAATTTATCGAATATCAATTGTGATATTTGTAATTCGATAAATTTCTCCACAAACTATATTAATGTACATAGTGAAACTCGATAAACCATTTCAATCCAATTTATATGATCCCTTGTTTTTAGTATCATATAAATATTGACGTTCAAAAGTTTATAATCTATTCAAGCTTAAAATATCACATAATGCATATAAATATCCTACTTTTGATTGGAGTAAATTTTAAGATTCTTCATTTATTTCATATTATTCTATTTCTTATTAGGAATAACTTTAACTATAATTAAGTGTAAATTTAAAAATAAAATTCAATTAGTTCTATGAATCTTGCGTGAATGGAATGTTAATCATTTGGTGTTAATTACTTTATGGAAGGCTGTTATGCGTTTATAACTGACTTTCCCATGCAATAAAAACTATACAACATATTGTAATATTACTGTACAGTTACTGGCGAATGTAATGGCGGTAATACTCTAGTCATATAATTAGCCTTATCCTAAAAAGGCCGGTGTGAAAAAAACTGTTTTGTAATTTTATGCAACATTGATTCAAAATGTATTTGTAATGTTTATGGTAATTGTGGTATGTGGTTGATTCTAAGATCTTACTTTAACTGGTGATTACGCCAAATTTTACTAAGTCAACAAGCTTCATCCATCAAGAAAAAAAGTTCAGCTAAAAATATTACTATAAATTAGAAAAGTGAAAAAACAATAAGCATGAATTAAATGAGGCGAAAGTCATGATTGTTTTTAGCATTTCCACCTGCATTCAATCTTGAATTGACATAGAATGAGAATACTTTATGTTTCAATTTTTGAGGGTATAATCCCTTACTCTTCTTCAAAATTATCTCAACGCAATTACTTTTGCCGGGGACTGTACCGTTTTAGTTTATAAATTTAAGAAATTTCTTAATTAAGAAGTAAAATTAATGATCAAGAAAGCTTATTCTATTACATTCATGGATTAAATTTTATGTTTATTTCTTAATAGCTTTTATTTCATAAATTCAATAAAGCCAATTGATAAGTTTAGATGTTATGTACCATATCGAACTCAAAATATTTGATACACAGTGCATACAATGCAGACTTCCATTCAGACACGTATTAAATTTCGTTTAATTTAACCTCTTCTCCATTACTTTATTTGGTTTCATTGATATGCTTAAAAAAATTCGTTACAAACATTCACAGTTGAGAATATAATTTCTTACTAAGCAATTAATAAATTGTCCAGATTACATGTAATATGTATCGTCAATTGATACAGAAAAATTTTTATACTCCTTTTTGTGCAAAAAGAACATACATTATATTTTTTTTAAAATAATTATAGAATCCTATATTTATAATTTGAAAAACATCTGTGACTTTCGATTAGTCAGTGAATATTGATGTATCAGTAATAAATAGCAAGTTTTTATGTCTCGTATACATACCCAAAACAAACAATAATGAATGGCTTAAAAAATTATCGTAATCTCCGTTTATAGAAAGTAAAAAAAAAAACAGACAACGGAATCAACTATTTCTTTAATTTATTGCAGCTGCGCATTGCATAATTACAAAAATGTGCAAAAAAAACTTTTTTTTAGCTTTTTATGGAATCTTGTAACACATTTTTATTTCAATAATTTGGAATAAATACTTTGAAAAATTGATGATTTTTAACAATGTATTACAGAAAGCAAACATAATACATGTATTCGATGAATAAATAATAATGTTTCATTTGCATGTAATATTAAGGTTTATATTTCATTACCTCTTTGAAATCACAGTAAAAAATTGATGAATCAAATTTAAATTCACATTAATGCACATGTGGTTGTATCCTGCATGAACTTGCATTATCAAAGAAATTTTGAAGCTTTTACATTATGTAAACTTTACACGTGATATAATTAGAACATTAATATTCTAGTTTAAAGAATTTCTTTAAGTATCCAGTGAATTTTAACAACGGAGCTTCTCTTATTATCCAATGAATCGTGCATACAGACTATATTCTAACTAAAACAGTACGTGACATAATAATAAGAATCGCATTTTTTTTATGAAATATATCAGAAAAGTTTGAAAATTTACAGACACAGGTAGAAGTAGAGTAGTTTTGCTGAGGTTATAGCCATGAAAACCGATTGTATAACCTTTAATGTGTCTCAAACTTTGCCGTAACTTTTCAAAGGTTTTGTGATATCCGTAAATCTCCAGAAAGCTTGCTAAAAATTCACGTGGAATCACGGAACTAAATTTCTTAATCATGGTATCCAGTTGTTCTTGTGAGGAAGTTTGTAGGTCGCAAAGAGAAAGAATGTTTGCTATAAGACATTTCGCAGACATTTGGAACAAATATACAAAGCTGCTCCAGTTACTCCATGACTTGCTTTCGGTAACTTGTCTCAAACAACAACTTTTGTTTACCAAAGTTATTTTTGGCATGCAAATCCAACAGTTTCACACTCTTTCATTTTAAAAAACTGTTGTTCAATAGGTAAAAAATAATAATATTAGCTAATAGATTACTTATTTTAATTAAATTAGAAATATAATTATTATACTTATTACTTTTTTCACTTTTTTTTGCTTAATAGAAAGATAAGTTCATCAACTTATATTACTTTCGCTCTTAGTTCTATTTAATAACGATAATATCGAAGTTAACTCATACAAATTGCAATGATATTCAAGAAATTAAAATAAATAATATTTCAGCTGATAAACCAAATAATATATTATTTGATCAGACTAATATCTTATATCTTTTATATTATCTTGTCACTATACCTTTATTATTGCTTATACACCAATTTGAGAAATTTATTCAATAAATTTTAATTTTTAACATGTTTTTATTTTTACTAAATTAGTAATAACTTCTTATATTTTTTTATACAAATAGATAATAGTCAATTTCAAAATTTTTCTCATAATATATTTCTTATAAATAAAATAATGAATTTTTTATTTATATTAATTATTATAAACTTTATTTACCTATAAAATTCATATTAATATACAAGAATTCACTATTTATACCAAATAACAAAAAATAATTACAAAACTAATATATAGCAACAATAAAAAAATATAATACTAAAACAAAATTTATTGATAAAATATAATAAAAATATAAAAATACAAGTTTTTCTTTTTATATAAAAAGTTTTCAATTTTATTAATAAATATTTTTTATTTTATATTAAAATAAAAATAATATTATATATATAATTAGTGCTCTAATTAGACCAAATCCAATTTATAATCTGATTCAAAATGCATATTTCAAAGAACTGTCAAAGTTATATAGTAAATTAAGACTTAAATCAATTTAGATAATTATAATTATCCAAATTAACTTAATATATATAATATATATCTGTAACACATTTAATAATTTACTAAATTCTATATAATACTATTGCTATTAAAACAAAAACAATATCTTTTATTTTGTAATTTGGTCTAGCAAAATTCTGATTGTAACTTTTATTAATAAAAAAAGCATCAAATATACACTAAAAATATTATTGTCATGAAATTTACTCATAATAACTAATAACTTATATAATCAATTTTTTGTTTATATCAAGTTTTCTAAATATGAGTATTTAATATTTTTTTATTATTGAATATCTAGTTTTTTTATTTTATTAGTATTATTATAAATTTTAATTAATTTTCAGTTTAATTTTGAATTGGTAAAAATATTGTATGCAAAGTTAGTATATAAAAAATTACAAAATAATAAATAAATAAAATTTACTAATCTTTAAAATTTTATAAATTTAGATTTATTTGATTCATCTAATTAAAATAAATATTCTTTGTATTAAAATTAGTTAAATATTAAAAAAATAAAAGCATTCAAAGTTAACTTATTTTTCTGGAACTATTGATATTGATTAAAATTAATAAGAGTTTTTAAGTATTTAATTTTTATATATTAGTTTTATCATAACCAAATTTAGTGAGTTTTTTTGATAAGTATTTAATAAACTAAAATTTTTGGATAAAAATACTCTTGAAAAATTAATTTTAATAATGTTAATAATAAGTAAATAAAATTTTCAATTGGTAAATTTATTTTTGTTAATCAAAATATTATAAAATTATTTAATTAATATTTTAATATAAATTTACTCAAAGAATATTAAAATATATTTTTATAAATAAATCAATACTATATTAATATTTTTCTAAACTAAACTGAATTAGATTTTTATTTGAATTCAAGTTCGATTCAAAATTCAAACTGAACTTTGACTTGAATTCAAAAAAGATTCAAAATTCAAATTAAACTTGAATTAAATTATTATTCAAGTTTGAGTTTAATTTAAGTTTAATTAAAGATTAATATATACTGATTTATAGTTTTAAATATAAGCTACAAGTACAATTTATAGTATTTAATAAGAATTAAAAGTTTATATAATGATAACTAAAATATTTTTATTTTTATATTTATTAAATTTGATCATAAATATTATATAACTTTATGAATAATTATTAATAATAATTATCTTATTCCAATTTATAGCTCTTATTTCTGACTACAATTTTACTTATAATTATAGTTTATAATTACTATAGCAAAAATAATATTTATTATACTAAAACTAAAGCAAATTAAAATTTTAATAATTAAAATTATTTTTTAAATTTATATAATTTTTTAAATATTCATTCTAATTATTAACTATCTTATATCAATTTGTAGCTCATATTATAATCTATAACTTTATTTAGAACTTCAATAAATATTTACTAAAACTCAAATCAGACTTTTAATTAGATTCAAACTTTTAAACTGGATTTTTGATTAGATTCAAATCTGGTTTAATTCAAACTAAACCAGACTCTAGGGTTCCGAAAAAAAATCTGGTTCAGTTCGAGTCTGGTTCAGTTCGAGTCTGGTTCGGTTCGAGCTTGAACTGGACTCGAACCTGACGAAAAGTCCGGTTCAAAAATTTGAACCTAATTAAAAGTCTGGTTCAAGTTCAGTTCAAATTTCGAACCAGACTCGAACCTGACAAAAAGTTCAGTTCGAGTTCAAGTAAATGTTTGTTGATGCTCTAA